CCTTCGTCACGAGGAGTCCCTCGACCTCGTCACGGAGTGCATCTTCTGCGGCGAGAGCCGCCGGCCCGCCGAGCGCGACCGCGGCGAATCCAGGCGGGGCTAACGCGATGTTTATTTCCGAGTTGGATTTTTTTTTGCGTTCACGTCGCCTCGATTTCGCGTTGGCGACCTCGTCCGAGTCGGCGCCGTTCTTTCGGCTCATGTTGACCATCATGTTGATGTCCGCGGGGTCGGGCTGCCAAATGGATCCGAGCGAGAATGGTGCCCCCATGAAAGCAAGTTGATGAACGCGGTCGGGCTGCGAAATGGATCCGAGCGAGAATGATGCCCCCATGAAAGCGAGCAAAGAGGAGACGAAGGAGGATGGCTGCCTGCTCGACGGCAACGCTCCGACGAAAGCGATGGAGACCGCGCCGAGCGATGCGAGCGCGGCACTGGCGCTCGTGCGCCGCGCGGCGCTCGTCGCGAACCTGTCGAACCTCGCCTTCGGCTACGACGTCGGCGTCATGAGCGGTGCGCTGCTCTACCTGCGGCGGCCGGACCAGCTCGGCTTCACCGACGTCCAGGCGGAAGTCGCCGCGAGCCTCTTCAACCTCGCGGCCGCGGCGGCGTCGCTCGGCGTCGCGGGGCCGCTCAGCGACCGCCGCGGCCGCCGCGCCGCGCTGCTGGTTTCCGCGGCGCTCCTCCTCGCCGGGTTCGTGTGCCAGGCGTTCGCGCCGTCCTTCGCGGTCCTGGCCTTTGGGCGCGCGCTCGCCGGGTCGGGCTCGGGCGTCGCGTGGGTCTCCGCGAGCACGTGTCGCCGCGTCTGGGCAATTGGATGGATGCAGATATCTGCCTCGCCGCTAGGTACGCTCATGGCCGAGCTCGCGCCGACGAAGGAGCGGGGGAAGCTCACGGCCGTCGCGGATCTGGGCATCAACGTCGGCATCGTGGTCGGGTACGCGTCGTCGCTGGCGTGTATCGGGGTCTTCCGGGACGACGAGCGTCGCTGGCGGTCCATGCTCGGTTTGGGCGCGTCCCTGCCGGCGGCGCTCCTCCTCCTGCGAGGCGCGCTGCCCGAGTCGCCGCGCTGGCTTCTCGCGAACGGCCGCGCGGACGAGGCGCGCCGCGTGCTCGAGGCCTACCACGTGCCGGCGGACGCGGCGGACACCGCCGACGCGTTCGTCGCGCGCGTCGCCGGGCGCCGGCCGGCCGCGGCCGCGGCGCGCGCGAGCGAGACGGAGCGGCGGCGGTCGCTCCAGGGCTTCGCCGTCGCCGCCGCGGGGCAGGCGAACGGCAGCGAGGGCGTCCTGTACTACGTCGGCTACGTGCTCCGCGACGGCCTCGGCCTCGCGTCGCAGGTCCAGGTCCTCGCGGCGTCGCTCGGCGTCGGCGTCGTCAAGCTCCTCGGCGTCGTCGTCGCCATGGCGCGCGTCGAGCGCGCGGGCCGGCGGCCCATGCTCGCGCTGTCCGGCGCCTCCCTGGCCGTCACGCTCGCGCTCCTCGCGGCGACGGTCGCCGCGGGCGCGCCGAGCGTCGTCGTCGTCCTCCTGCTGTGCGCCTACATGTTCGCGTTCTCGCTCGGGGCCGGGTCGCTCGCCGTCGTCGTCGCGACGGAGCTGCAGCCCGAGGCGAATCGCGGCACGCTCGTCGCGCGCGCCGTCTTCCTGAACCGCCTCGTGAGCGGCACCTGCGCGGCGACG